CTAGCGCATGGTAAGTATTTCTGAAGCAAATTCTTCCTTAGCCTGTATTCCTCAGTGGGTCGCCTCTTCTTGAAATCCTGTTCCTCGTTTCTCTTGTTTTATTCCTCGTGTGTGAACGCAGTTGGCTTTGGCAGGGCCGAGGGGAGGTGAGATTTAACTTTCAGCTTTTCCCTCACACAGAAAAGGAAAACCAGATCCTCAGAGACATTGTGGGTGATGTTGGTAGCAGTAACTTCTTTGTGGCCAGGGTGCTTTGTTTTAATTATGCTTTTTTACATGTCTGTATTATGAAAAGTTATCCAAATGCTCCATTTTTTATTTTTGGCAATGGCACTGTAGGTGAATTGATGTCGTTAATCCTGGATACAAATAGTTTGTTCCAAAATCCAATGTGTTTTTGTGCCTTTTGGTGTTGTGTCGTGACACCTGCTGCCCAGTAGCACTAGGGCAGCGAGACAAGCCGCCTCTAGTGGGCACAGGGGACCCTTTCTCCTGCCGCTCGTTTGTTTGCTCCGGCTTCTTTAGCGGCTGGTCATTCAGCCTTACTTAGTTTTGCCCTTCCTGGCTTTTCTGTGATTGTTAACGTGGAAATCGTTACTGTGAGGTTTTTTTTTCTTACTTGATTTTAAACATTTGTAACATCCATTTAGGGGGAAAAAGAGGAAAGGGAAAAAAAAAAAGGTCAAATGTGTTCTGTTCCAGTCTTCTCTTCCGCTACTGCAATAAAAATTAATCCACTTCTAGCACTTGGAGGGCAGGAGGCAAAGCTGAAATACTGGTTTCAGATTAGCCGTTTCTGTTAGCTGGCTCATCTGTGCTAGGACCTTTACTTGTTTTCTGATGCGGTTTCTCTTTTTTGACAGTTTTGATTTGTGATTTTATATTGGGAATAAACAAGACGAGAAGAGAGAAGTGAGACAGAGTTGAAGGGTTTGATCGTTTATGCTTTTTATTGCTGTTACTGATAGAGCAGCATAGGTGTCTGTTATCCCAGTAATCCCCCTCGTCAGTGAAGACTTTTGTCTGCACCCAGATTCGCCCTGTTTGTTCTCACTGTGAACAGAGGCTCCTTTTTGGACCTGAACTGCAGCAGAGCTGGAAATGCAAAGCAGAAATAGTGTCCCTCTGCCACATGCCTGAACTTACAAAGATCAGGGGCAGTACAGACTTCTGAAGAGCCACCGCTTTTCCCTTGCGCAAGTAGGTGGCGTGGAGGTTGTAAGTAAGCGTTGAAGGGCTGCTGTTTTCCTGTTAGAGGGGATTAGAGCAAGTTTAGAAAAGCTGGAGCCCTCGTTTTGTTCAGCGTTTCTGGAGAACTGGCAGAGCCGTTCCTGGGATCTCATTGCCCAGGCGTAGGTTTTTACGCTGGTGAGAGACCTCGCTCCCCGCAGGGAGGCAGGCTCTGTGCTTCAGAGGATCCTTGGCCCTGAGTTTTTCTCAGGCAGAACATCAGTGACCCGGGTGATGTGTTGGATAAGGTCTGAAACAAGATGCCCTGCAAGGGTCCAACTGCAACGTGGAGCCCTTTGATAGACCAACGCTTCCTAGACATCACCATTTGCTGCGTTTGTGTGGGTGTCCACGAAGGCAGGCGTGCAAGAGATCGGGCACCTGTAGCTCCGCTGAAGGCTGATGGAAACTGCAAGCGCTCCAGATACCTGAAAACCAAGAGCGTGGTGCGTTGATAATTTTGCCTGCTTTGTTTCACTCATATCCTTTGTTAACAAAAGACAGTCTAGAGGGAAATAGTCTATTATTAATATTTAATTTCCTCCTATTACTGTAAGCAGATGACCTAAAAGATCATTTAAAAATGCAGCCAATAATAAAGGAAATAGAGGAGCCAGAAGAAGTATGTCTTGGTGAGACATGTGATGCCTCCCTTCCTCCTCTCTCCTGCCCCCTCTGCGTCCTCCAGCAGGAGGGAGAGAAGCCGCGAGGCTGCTCTCTGACGGCTCCAACCACGCGGGCCGTGTGAAGCAGTGAAGGGCATGGGGAAGCCATTCTGCATGAGGCAGTCATCAAATATCTTTTGTGAATTCGTGTAAAGCTTGTGTGCACGTTGGCTTATTTAAAGATATGGTGAGAGACAAGATTTCTTAGAAACTTTGATTTGAAAAATACTGAGATTCTCTTTGAGCTGAAGGGCTTTCAAAGAGAGGATAAAAACTGACAAGCATCTCTCCCCTCCAGGCTTTGGAAGGTAGAAAACAAGTGAGTTAGCAGCACCAATTTTCTGCTTATTGCTGTATGCGAATTCAAGGATTTTCCCTAAGGGAACTAGGTGATCTGTACGTGGCTGGTACCTGGGAAGGGTCGTGTTGTCAGGAGGAGATGTGAGGCTGTTATCTGTGGAATGAGTCTTGTTCTTGGATGTTGTCTCCTGAAAGGGCCACCGTTCCCCTTCCCCGCTGGCCTCACATGAGCTGCCTGCTGCATTCTGCATCCTGAAGCAAACAAGGAAAAAACAATCTTGTCTGGAGCCTGGGAGGAGCTACAGCTCCTGGGGGAAGGCCGAGGAAGCTCAGGTTTGTTACCTGCATGCCCACAGACTGTCTTGGGTGCACCGAGGGCCACTATTCCTTGAGGGATTTTGCTAATGTATCTCAAGAGGAGCTGTCAAACCAGCATGTCACAGACGCTGTCAAATACATCAGTCCAACACAATGAGAGAGGAAGGAGTCTTCTCCTTACCAGTGTAATGGAGCATGGGGATCCAAAACCAAGATAACTAAACTCAGCCTAAAGGGGACAAGAGCAGGAGATAAATGTATTTAGGAGTGCTATTTGAGCCCAACAGTGGCTAGTGCTCACCTGGGCTCTTTGGCACTCAGTAGACTGTAGGAGCAACACCTTCATCCAAAACCAACTGGAGATCCCAAACAAAAGCTTGCTCAGTCTCCAGTGGTGAATTGCTTCATGGGAACGTGCTGTTCAGATGCTTTATTGAATTTTCAAGGAGCAGTTTTTCACTGAGGCTGAAATATGAGCGAGAACAGAGTGTTCCAAATCACTAAAAGCGAACAGGGCAACAGCTTTACGGGTTTGTGAGTGGCAAGAAAGGTTTATTTAATAATGGGGAAAAGGCCGGAACATAGCCCAGGGTATCAAGGAAGAATTAATCCAATTAACAAAATGAAACATGAGCTTGAGGAGAAATACTAATTGTAGCTGTCCAGCAGGTTGCGTGATACAGGTTATTTTTCCTAAGTTTTGAGAAGCTTGCAATATTGATCCCTCAAGGGCCCAAGAGGTTTAATATACACTTTCCCAGTGAGTAAAACGGGCTGTTAATTAATTTTAATTTGTCAGACCTAGTTGCTGAGCCTTTGAGTCTTGCATGAAGTGGATGATTCTGTAATAAATCTCTATTTCTTCAGAATATGTGTCTTTTTCTCTAGGTGGTATTTCATTTTGTCCCTGTAAATGCAGTAAATTTCTAGCCATGAGCACAGAAACACTGAGCCTATAGTTGTTTTAAAACAAGTTGGAAATACTTCTACAATCAAAGACCCTGTATTGTATTGGGTGAAAGCTATTTCAGGCTGACAGTGCAGGAGATGAATGAGGCAAGGGGTAAGTTTGGGTGAAACATGGGGAACCTCCTGGGTTGGGGAACCTCCTGGGTTGTGGCACCTTTTGTAGGTAGCAGGTGCAAGGCCTTTCATGTTGCTGGGGTTGTATGGCTAATAATTACTTTTTCTAATGTCTGTTGCTACCACAGAAGCAGTAGTGCTGAAGTGGACACAAAATACTGTTTTGTCTTGACTGGGACACCTGCTCAGCTTTGGTCATTTCTCTTGGTTTCTGGCTCTGCAGAACTCTCTAATTGCTTCCCAGCCCATCTGGGAGCAGAGTGGAGCGGGGTGGGAGGACATGCCGTCCTCTTCTGGATGTAACATCTGACAGATTGCTTTGGAATTAAACGGCTAGGGGTTGGGTTGAAAAATCAGGCCACCATTTGTGAAGGGAGGTTGAGAAACAAGGGACTAGACAAATTCAAAGCTACATTAGAAAGTTAAAATCAAACTAGGAAACAAATGGTTGCAGGAGAAGGTTAAAAAGCATTGTGTCAGGAAATAGGATGTGATGTCATCGTTAAACTTCAGATTCCAGCATCGTTCTTTTTCAGGATACGTGCAGAGCTGTAGGTAATTCCAGCTTTGTCTTTGTACTAAATGATTAATATCTGGGGGACCTCCACAGCATAGGGCGTTCACTCCATGCCCACCGGGAAAACGGGTTAGTCGGAGAGGAGCCATTGAAAGAGTCAGGTTAAACAAAATGCATCTGGGATTAATATGATCCGTAATGTTACTAAAGGAAGCTCTGAAATGCGAAAGAATAGTCCAGTAATTTCACTTTGGTCCCCTCTGCTGAGGTGTTACACCTCATAAGAGTATGAGGTGCAAGAGCAACACAGTAGTACTTTATGTAAACGTTCTTGGTGTCTGGATGTGCTCGACCGCTTCGAACGTTAATTCCTTTCAGAAAGGTGTTTCTTTAGTTCTTTTGCCTTCATCTCGCAGAGTAGTTTATGCTTTTGTTTGATTGGTTTATTTTACATAGCATTAGTTTTGTCTCAAGTACATCCCAATAATTTTTGGAATTTTTCTTAACTGGTCCTACAGCTGGAGTTTGGTCGTGAGCTTGAGCTGCATGGAAAGGGGAGAGGGTGCTAGGAAATGGGGCATGTGAAGGGCTCCCCCTCCATTGCCAAAGTATTGGTTCATCGCTGTCTGTGCTGCTGTGGTATTAAGAACATGATTTAGCACCCGCTTCAGAGCTTTCGGGCATAACCATGTGATACATGGATACGTGGTCTCTTTCTTAGAGACCAGTTTTACCCCATAGCTTCCCCTAACTTTTTTTCCCTGCTGCCTTTTTCCTGACTTTTTGTCCCTTTCTTGCATGCACAGAGTATTGTAGCATAGTTTTCATCTTGCCCTTTCTGTTTTCTCTCCTTCCAGGTTTTCTTTGTGTCTATTTGATGTGAATTCTAATCCTTTTCCCTGGAAGTCAGGCTGGTGGGGGGTGTTTCCAGTATCACTGGTTTGAAACAAACCCATTAGGACCTGAAATGGATAATCAGACATTGGAGAAGTGATATAGGAGCATACCATTAGCATCACTGAAATACAAGTAAGTAGAAGCAATGTTTGGGAGGTCAGTGGAACACAGGTTATTTGCTAAAAGAAGATAGGCAACACAGAAACTTCTTGGGTTTTTTTGTTCTTGAAAAAAAGATTAAATCAATGATCTTTATCTTCCTCTTTATAGCTAGATCAAAAACTAATCTCTCACGTTGATTTCTCCCACACTAACCAAACAAAATGCACACAAAAGATTTTTGAAGGTGGAGGAAAGGCTAGATTTTGAAGCACATCCAAACCACCAGGAACCATTCACTTTCCTTTCAAATGCAGCATTAGCAATAGAGCTCTAAATCAATGAAAGGTCCAAAATTAGATTATATTCCTGAGATCATATGTGAATCACAAGTTAATCATATTTTCTTGTATTATCACTGTCTTTACCCTTTTATTTTGTCCTGAGAAATTAAGTTACCAACTTCAGAACACAGAGTGAACTGTGAAGGCATGAAACCCTAGTGGGTTAGACCACACCAGATCACTTGTCGGTCTTCTGTTTTGGAGGGGCATGTTGCAGCTGAAAGCGAGCGTGAGTGATTTATCAGTTAGTGCTATGCCTCTCTTACTATCCTAGCCCTCTGTTTTCTTGTCTTAAATTTATGAGAAAATATTGCTGCAAACAGTTTGCTAAATAAGGTTTAAAACCCAGTACAGAAGTGACAGGGTAGGACAGCAGGCAATTATCACTTGACTGCGTGGCATGAGGCCCATATTCTTTATTGCTATATTTTTTGGCAGAATCCGGGGGTAAAATGAACCCACATCTGAATCAGAGATAGGAGGTAACCTGTGAAGATCATGTAAGCATGTAGAAGGTGTGTATGCGTTCATATGCAATGGCAGCTGTAGGGAGTGTGTGTCCTTGCAAGTGGCACCAAGTTTCGTGCCAGGTTGTGTATATGACAGTGCGGGAGCGTGAATGTACGCTTTGAGGGATCATGTTGGCGTTGTGCCTCTGTGAGTGTTTCTTTGGGGTGTGGGGGGGTATCTTGGTGGGTGTGTTTCTGGCTGGTTGTACTTGAAGAATGATGCTGACCTTGTCTGTAGAGTGTGTCAGAATCTGTGGATGCAAAAAACACTGTGTAAAAGGCAGGTATAAAGAAAAAAATGGCTTGCTAATAGCATGAAGATTTATGTAGCAAAGATGGTGTTGCAGGTTGGGAGCTTGCACAAACTCTTGCAGGGAGTGTCTGTTCTCAGCAGGGAAGTATTGGAAAATGTCGCTGTCTGACACCCTGGGCTATTTCCCCTGCCGCTGCTCATGTTTTGGTGTCCTTTGGTGCACGCAAAGGAAACGGTATGGAAACACAGTGAACACACGTGCCAGCAACACAAACCCCTTATGAATGAATGTTCATGTCATCACAGAGCAGTGCATGGGTCCAGCACACTTTTGTGACAAAGTGCACGAGGGTGGGGAGCGTGTGATGGCTCGAGTCTTGTGTTTGTGATGGGAAGGAGACAGGTGTATGTGAAAAGGCTCCTCCACCTTTCCCCTGCGCAGGCACAGCGCTTGCCAAGGCGTGATTAGTGAGGCTCTCGTGTTTCAGGGCAGACTACTGAGCAGCTGCTGAAGTGCCAGCTCCGTTGGTAACTTCAAAAACAAAACATCCCTTGTTTCTCATCACCACTGTGAAATACTGCCTTCCTCAACCTTGGCTTTGGCTCTGCAGCTTTCAAGATAGACAAAATGTGAGATTTTTGCCAGTGATGTATTCTTCTAGGTCTGTTTAATATCCGTTATCAATTTAATATGCCACTTTAATGAGATTTTGCTTTTTCCATCTCCGTGGAGCTGATTACTTAGCGTGTATGGCTTTTGTTTTTTTGTTTTTTGTTTTAAGGAAACAAGTCAAGAAGTTGAATGCTTGCTACAGCTGAATATTTCCTAAGTCCTGGGGTGAAAAGGGGAAAAAGAGAACCATAGGATGTTGCTGGTACATATGTAAATGACAGGAAACCATGACTAGCAGTGTGATTGTCGACAGGAAACAAAAATTCAGAGCCTACGCGACGGTGCCATACAGTGCACTCACCGTGCTGTGTTGTCTGCTGGCCTCTGTGGCCTGGGGAGCAGCGTTCGTCTGCGTGAGCTGTTCTTCTGTGGCCCTATCTGCTGGAGTTCGATGAATTATTCTCTGTCTGGTTAATCCACTTTGCTGGAGTTGGCAAGCCCTGTTTTTTTTTTTTTCTCTGTACACCTGTTACTGTGAAGATCTTGAACAGCCATGGGGAGAAAAGGATGTGTGTGAACCACCCTCGCAAGCTGGCAGCCGACTGAGTGCTCTTCGGACCCCAGGCAGCTTTGAGGTGTCTTGGCTGTTCAGTGCTCTGCAGATATGAACGCTGAGCTTTTCTGGCACGTTCTCACGTTGGCCTGGTTGCTCTCACCATGCTAGTACATGGGAAAGAAGACTTCCTCTCAGACGTAGCTTACATCATCCTGGAACTGGTCATTGCTGTGCTGGCCATCTTGGGGAACATCCTGGTCTGCTGGGCGGTCTACTTGAATAGCAACCTGCAGAACGTCACCAACTACTTTGTGGTGTCCCTGGCTGCTGCTGACATTGCGGTGGGTGTGCTGGCAATCCCCTTTGCCATCACCATCAGCACTGGCTTCTGTGCCTTCTTCTATGGCTGCCTTTTCATTGCCTGCTTTGTCCTGGTCCTGACTCAGAGTTCGATCTTCAGCCTCCTTGCTATTGCCATTGACAGAATCATTGCAATCCGCATACCCCTCAGGTAAGCGTGGGGTGGGCTGGGGGAAGGAGGACGGGATCTTGGTGAGGGATGGACATCAATAAAAGCAACAGATCTGGAGAAGAACTGAGAGGGGGAAGTTAAATGAGCAGCAGCACTTTATTTCTTGTAATTTGAAAAACGCTTTTCTAGGTCTTGAAAGCTGCCTTGGCTGCTGGATCTTCAGGTTGTTTCTTTTCCAGTTCTTCTCTGTCCTCATAGAGCATGTGCCCATGGCATTGCACGGGTGCTGCCTAGGAGCTGGCGTTCCATATTTAGACAGGATCATGCTGTAACCTCAATAACTTGTGTTCTCGGCTGGAGCAGGCAGTGCCAGAAGGATCGCTGTGGGAAAGCTGAGCTACAGCTATATGCAGTGGAGGGAAGAAAGGGGCTGAGTGCAGCTGATCTCCTTCCTGTTGGGAAGAATGAGGGACTCTGCCCAGCCGTTGTAGGAGCAGGGTTGTGGAGAGAGGGGATGGGTGTCTTCTCTTGGGGGGTCCATTAAATGTGAGAGAGAGGAGAAGCAGCATGCTTTGAAGAACAAGCCTAGGAGGATTTGGTCTAACTTAGGCACTGCCTCTGGAAGCAAAGCATGTATTAGATCAAGGCACAGGTTTGTCCCCACTCCAGCCCAGAAGGTGGTTTTTCTGTGGTCTCTGATCTGTAGTTGAGAGGAAGAAAAGATTTGAATAGTAGAGCTTGAAAGCTGAATGTGACTAGCTGCTACTCTGTGTGCAAACAGGGAGGCTGATGTGGGTCGAGGGGAAGTTTTGCCCCATGCACAGGGCTGCTACTCAGTTCTGTCTTCCAGAAGTACATCGTCAAGATGGGATTTATCTGACTATGGGTGCAGTGTGGCATTGTGTGTTGTGGACTTGGTTTAAATACTTTGTGACAATGCTCCCCTAGTCGTTCCGCAAGCTTTTAAGATGCTGAGGAAGCCCCAGGAGAGGCCAGTGCTGGCAAAGTATAGGAGTCTCCTTCCGTCCTGTCCCATCGTGAGGAGGATGCAGCGAGCTCTCAAGAATGGAGAGACTTGTTTCCTGTTCTGCTGCCTACAAAACGTCACTCTAAAAGTGGAACAAATTTCTGATTCTTGTGCTCTCAAGTTTGAGTTTTTAGACGTTCTCGCTCCTGCTGAGTTTGAATCACTTGTGCTGATCTCTGCGACTCAGTTTTGTCTGTTGTGAATGTTTTGGTCATGCAGCACGTGTTGATTAGCATAAACCTCACATTCAAAAATAGAGAACATTCTTTTCCCTAGAGCTGGGGAGATTACCTTTCCATGTGGACCACTGCAGCATAGTCGTCCATGAAGGCTTGTTTTGGCAAGCCTGTGCTTATGTAACATTACTCTTAATTGTTGGTTTCCAAACCTATAGCCCTAAGTGTTACAACCTCTAATTTTGATGTGGGAGTAACCATTCCATTCCCCTGTAGAAAAAAACCTCTGTCAATGTTAGTACCTCTAAATTGGACGGTCTCTATTTTTCTACAGTTGTACAGATCGGATGTTTTCAGTTTTGTAAAACAATCTAATGATAAATGGTGCAGAGAAACATATGTAGAGTGGCCCTCAGGAGTTTGCCTCTGAAATGATTTTGAAAATGTCTAATGTCTTTAATTCATCACTTATGAGTTAACTCTGAAAACTTCTACTGACAGTTTAAGCATTCACATTGTTAGAGGATGACTTGCAAGGAAAAGGATTTTAAAAATTTGGATTTCTGCCCATTTTTTTGTATCACTGTAGCTATTGTCTTAAGAGTTTAATTTCCTGGAATAAGCCAAAGTAGAGAGTCTTTTAGAAAAATGTGAGCTCACCAGTGTTGGGTATTGTGCCTGTTTCACTATTTTGTTTCTGAAAAAACAAAACACACCCTCTTCCACCCTAGAAACAGCGGAGTCGATTGGACGCAGAAACCCACAGGTAGAACCATGGGTTCTTCCCCCTCCTTGTCCTCCACCGGTTTGTCCTTTTACAGTAGGAGCGAAGAACTTGTGAGCTCTGTTTTCCCTAGAATTTATGGATGAATAAACATAAGATTTATGGTCTCAGACATGCTGAGAAGGTGAAAGCTGATTAGCCAAAGAGAGAAGTGTGATATGATTCAGACTGTTCACCTCCTCATTTTTTTCTTTTAATATCTGGTTGTCTCAAAAATGTATCAAACCATTGGAAGGAAAGTTCCACCACTAAAGATGCAACGTTTTCGCCCATCCTTTAATATCTGGGAAAGCCTCTCCTCTTCGCCTCAGAGGACAAGAAAGGTAACATCTAAGGCATTCCTAACAGTCGTTAGATAAAAGCTCTTAAAAAAAATCAGACTTCCTTCCTGTATCCTAGAGAAACCCAAAAGGGGCTTAAACCTATTTTTTCTTTTTCTTTTTAATGGTTTCATGTCTGATTTGTCCTAAGAGAAGTAACCATCCGTATGGATGGTTGCATTTGTGGAGGTGTATTCCCACACAAATAAATTATAAGTATTAAGGAGGCTGAAGAGTGGGATTTCTGATACTGCTTCTTTTTGAACACCTCAGAACATAATTAGAGTTACCTTTGGAACAATTTTTCTGTGCATACAAGACCTTCCCCCCAAAATTGCAATGAGAAAAGGCACATATAGGTAAAATTTAAAAATACATGAAACTAATTTTTTAATACATTTTGCTTTGGAACGTCTTACGAGTTCTTCCTTTTAAATGATTATAACATCGTGCCAAATTTGATAAACTTTCCAGAAGTTTGCAGGACCTTTTGCTGAATTTTGCCTGGAGTTTTTGGACTGGCAACACATTCTGCCAGGCTTTACTCAATTGTAACACTGAAAGCGTCAATAAAGCATGCCAGAGGAAGTGAGCCCCAGCCATTGTTCGGTCTAGGATTAAAAGCAAACTGTCTCTCTAACATGGCAGGTGTCTGAAATCCTGTGCTCACTGATATAAACCCCCTGGGTGTTCTAAATAAAACTGGCTGGGAGTCTGAGCTCCAGGATGAAGTCATGGGCCAAGAAAAATTGCCACTTTCCAGGCTCTTTGGTGCCAACAAATGCTCTGAGGGCACAGTGCCCAGCCGTGAGTTCTTGTGCATGCGTTTGTGGTAAAAGTATTCCCATGGTGAAGAACAGGTAGCTTGGATGCACTGGAAAGAGGGAAGTTTTTCTTCCTGCAGCCAAACGGAAAAGTTTTCTCAGGTTACCTCTGCCTCCACATGCTGGCTTCAGGTGTTCACCTGCAGAATGAATCCTTGCGCTTGTCATACAGTGCCAGCTACGTTAACTTGCTGAAGTGCAGACCTTTTCTGCTGATGAAAGTTGCTTTGGAGATGACTGACTGTCCAAGCTATTGGGATGCTCTTCTGGGAAAGCATTACTAAGATGCAGCTCCCTGAAGCTTGGAGCATGGGGCCAAATTCATCCATCGGACAGTGATTGAAATTGCAGCTCTGAGTTGGCATTGGGATGACAGGTTGCTTTTTTGCCCAGCCAGGGGAGCTGGACACAACTTACTTCTCTGAGTCTGGGGTCAGAAGAATGGAGGAGCTGCATGAAAACCCTGAACAAAGTATATTTTATTGGCACTTTGAGACATATCTGGGTGGGATTTTTTTCCTGCTTGCCATAAATCTTTTGACCTTATGACAAATATTTTCTACAAGTGCTCACGTTTGTCTCAGGTATGTTATGAGCAGATTCAGCCTAATGTGAAAGGAGAATAATTTGCTTCCTCCTTTGAACAACCATGAGCCTGACTTTGAAAGCAGTGCTAGTTGTCTGTGGCTTCACTGGTCCACGTGGAACCAGCTGCTACCATGATTTCAGTCTGGAAGATGGACGGTCCGTTTAGCACATGGTATGTACAGTGGATATTGCAGCATGGAAAGGAACAGTCCCTGCCCACTGTCATTACTTCTGCCTTTTAGAGATACGTGTCCATCTGTGGGATCCTACCCTACCCTGCCTCCATAGCATAGTCAAGCACTAGTATCTGTTAACCTCTGATAAAAGGGGAGAAAGTTTTTTGACTGAGAATTATGTGAAAGGGTTGTTCAAGTGTTGCATGAGAAGATCTGGGCTTGGTTTTTGGCTCTGCTCCAAGATTTCCTGAATGATTTGGGATTGTCAGTGTCTCTCATTTCCAGATGCATGTAATAGGGATACAATATTCTCTTCCTGTCTTGCCCTCTATGACTGCAGCTCTCTGAGGTGTGGACTGTTGGGAGGATGTGTTCAGTGAACAGTGTTTCATGGTGAGTTGTTAAAAACCGCTGAGCACTGCTGAAATGCAGATGAAAGCCTAGCGCCCTCAACAGAGAGCACATGCTTTCTAGTCAAGGTGGCTGTTCCGTGCTCTGAGCATGGCAGAGCCCTCTGGCCGAGATGTCCAGTGCTGTCAACCAGAGGTGGGTTTGGAAGACAAGCAGCCTGCCTGGTTGGATACTGTGAGGATGAGTTAGATCAGCTACAGATCATGCAGTGTGTGGAAGGTTTTCAGCTTCTACCTGAGGACCCTGTGGTTCTCATACCAGCTCTGCCTTCCACCCAGCTTCATAGCTTACAAATCAGGCTGGTGAGGTATATATATGTACCTATACCTTTTGCAGGACTGTTGCCTTGATGACACAGAGCATAGGCCCGGGATCCAGAGGAGTCACATCCTCAGCCAAACCACTGTGGGCAGCACAGATGAGTTGTGCATTCACTGAGGGCAGCTCTTCTCCCAGGGGCAGGATGCCAATCTGATGGTCGGAAGAGCAGCAAGGCAGGCAGAGTTCCTGGGTCCTGTTGTTATCTGCTCTCAGGATGCTGAAGTAAATTATTTTGGGGAAAACATCCACTTTTTTCTGTGCTGGCAAAACTGGGTTTGGTTTTCTGAAGGAGTTAGGCACTCACGTCCCCTCACCCAACTCCACCTTGCATGTCTCTGTGCTCTGCACTAATGTTCTTTATTTGTGTCTGGGATTTCATGAGTAGAAGTCGTTATGTGCGTAGCAAGTCCAGTATTTCCAGGAAGCGTAAGAACTGCTTATGCACAGGCAATCCAGTGCTGTCTGGACACATCAGACACATTACAAAGTCACCCACCAACTATGCAGAACATATGCTGTAAGTGTGACCAGCTCTTTTCAGCAGGCTGCGTCTCTGGCCTAGGTGCCACCAACTCACAGTAAATGTGATGCTTCCTAGAAGCCCTGAACTTAACCATGTTAGAGCTGTGTAGCGTTGGGTAGCCTTGACTGTAGCTTTGACATGGCTGCTGTGAGTCTTGAAATATGCCTAGACAGGTGCACAAAACCGTCAGTGCCAGCCTGGTGAAATCTCTAAGTGGAAAGAAAGACTAAATCCAGGAAAGTCCATTTGGACAGGAACCCTACCTCAGCCAAGTCAGCCAGTGTCTCGTGTGGGTCCTAGAAATGAAGCTCTCCCGAGTGAATGGACAATTCTGAATGGGTGCCTGGTGAACGTGAATGTAATGCCATGCATGATATCACAAGATGCGGAGAATTTTTACCCTTAACCCTTGGCGATCTTGAGCAAGGCATTATGGAAATGCGCACACCAATAGGTTGGTAATTACCTCTGCCAGCAAAATACACTGCAGTGGGAAAGCAGGAGACTGCTTGGGTTCAGTGCTGTTCCAAAGCCTTGTAAAGTTCTGTTGCATGGGAATCCCCAGAGGGTAAGAGGGAGGGAGAAGTGGGGGGTGTTTGCCCAGAGCAGTAATGAATATATTTTTAGCGGAAGGGAAGGGACATCTCTAGTCGTGGGATAACAGCTGTACAATTTCAAAATTCCTCTGACAAAGATGTAGCCCGGTTCCAGGGCTGCGGGGTTTTTTTTCAAGCTTCAAGTGCCTTCGGCCACTCTCTTGCTCCCTCAGTATACTTTTCAAAGTGCAGATGCTGTTTTGTTGTGTTGATGAGATCTGAATGTAAGCAGCTCCCCTTCTACCCTTCACACAGTGCCCTCAGCCTAGCCCCCCTCCCCCCGGGCTTTCAGAAGGATCCATCACTTGCTGGAGAAACCTTTTTCTCTCCCAGGACCAGCTGAAACCCTCCCTCAGTTTGCAGAAAGAGGTTTTCAGTGTATTTTGGGTGCTGGGAACTGTGTGGGTGACTCCCTCCTTTCTGATTTTGCAATGCAGTTCAGGAGGGGAGACTCAAGCCTGCCAGTTCTTGTGTAGAGCCAGGTTCCTTCCAAGGCCCATCAGCTGGGATTTAAAGCATGTGCAGGATCTCCATTCTGTTCTGTGCCTGGAGAAAGCAGCATTTCTCCTCCCCTATCTTAAACTTGCATTAGGATAGGAGCAGAAGACTGTGGGATAACTACTTCATTGAGAGGGAGAAATTTCTATGGCTTTTGGGGTTTTTTTTTTTTTTTTTTGTAATGTTTGCTGAAAGAATTCAAGGTGTGGACAAAGGGAGGAGGAACACCGGGTAAACGCTGGGAGCCCTAAGCTGCCGTTGTCTGATCAGACACACGGGGTCAAGTACAGTGTGGGACCCACGCTGGACAATGTGGGAATATAGCCATCTATTTTCCATGCTAAGTGTTACCAAGGAAAGGAAATTGCATTGAAATGTTAAACTGCTGCCCTGATTTACATTTTCTGAAAGTAGAACTGGTGGAGTCAGCTCAGGACTTGCAGTAACCTGTGAGGCCTTGGGAACTAGCTGATATTTCAAACAAACAAAGGTCCTTGGCTGCACTGTCAGGTTTTTACCATGTTGCTTATTGTCTCTTTCAAAATATTTGGGAGGATTTATTACTAGGAGCACTAGTTTGAGCTGGGCATACCACTACCTTCACCACCGAGGTCTCCTTTTGTGTGTGCAGTGCAGCCCATAGCATACCTGTAGTCAGAGCTCTGTCCTCAGCTTAAACGCTCCTTCCTGAGAAAGACACTGGGTCAGCTTTGCTGAGCTGGGCTGGTGAGCTTTACTGGTCAAAGGAAGCTTGGTGGTACTGGACTTCTTGAAAGTGCTGTTGTGGAGCAGTGTGCGGTGCTGTGTGAAGAAATGCCAGCCTGGCCTCTGCGATAGACTTTCCCTGGAGCCCACCCGAACTCGGACGCTGGGCTGATGGCACTTTTATCTCCGAGTTCTTTGGTACTGCTTAGCTTACAGTTTTATTGTGAGACAGACCTAGCAATGCTGTGCTGCAGGGCTGCTGGATTGGCAGAATGGAGGAGCTACCTCTGCCTTCGACACCAAAGCTATGTTGTGAGTGTTGTTTTGGGGTGTTCTTATCCACTGCCCAGGATCAGAGCAGGCTGTCAGTTATCCAGGATTCATGCATATGAGCAAGTGGGAAGATGGAGGAAAGGAACGAAGATGAAAACTGTATTCATTTACCTGCTTTTCTGTCATCTGCACATCACCCAAGGAAGAAGGGAGGGAAGTAGGTGGCATGCAACATCACCATCGAGTCCTTGCTGTGCTCGGCTGGGCTGGGCGAGTTCTGCACAGCTGTTCAAAGGCCCATATGAAGAAGGAGGCTGCTTTGCTCTCTTCTGCCTTCTGGGAGGTTGGGCCTTTGGGAAGTTGCTTGGGTGTCAGGGGCTCATTCAGTGATACTGTTATAATTCCAGTCTCCTCTGCTTTATAGGTACAATGGCTTGGTGACTGGCTCTCGAGCCAAAGGTATCATTGCCATCTGCTGGGTATTATCTTTCATCATCGGCCTGACGCCAATGCTTGGGTGGCACAAACGCTCGCAGATTGAAGAGGAGGGTACCAATAAGTCCTCTCCCATCAACTGCAGCAACAGTATGGTGGCATGTCTCTTTGAGGCTGTGGTCACCATGGAGTACATGGTTTACTACAACTTCTTTGCCTGTGTGTTGTTGCCTCTCCTCCTTATGTTTGGTATCTACTTGAAAATCTTCATGGCAGCCCGGCGACAGCTCAAGCAGATGGAGAACAAGATGGTACATGGGGAACGCTCACGCTCCACTTTGCAGAAGGAAGTTCATGCAGCCAAGTCTTTAGCCATAATTGTTGGGTTGTTTGCAGTCTGCTGGCTTCCACTACATATTATTAACTGTTTCACCCTTTTTTGCCCAGACTGTGCCCGTGCTCCCCTCTGGCTGATGTATCTGGCCATTATCCTGTCTCATGCCAACTCGGTTGTAAATCCTCTGATTTATGCCTACCGGATCAGGGAGTTCCGTCACACCTTCCGTAAGATCATCAGCCAGCATATCCTGGGCCGGAAGGAGCAGTTCAAGGCAGGAACAGCCAGCTCTAGGACTTCCACACACGGTGGGGATGGGGAGAACGCCAGCATACGAATCGGTGAGTATGCATTAGAAGTATACACCAATGGAGAGATCCACAGGGATCCTGAAAAGCAGGACTTGAACAAATGCAAAGCAGGCTTGGAATGGCACCAGAATGGAAATGCTCTGGACATGGAGACAAATGGGCATCTCCCACATTCCTGCAAAAATGGGATTCTCTCAGATGCATGTGTGAACAGGGAGCTTCATAGTGAAGAGCTAATTGATGCCCATGTCTCGGATCTAGAAAGCGCAGCCTTTGCAGCAGCTGATGTTTCCTGATGACTCTTTCAAAGTCTTCCTGGTAGAATTATTTTTTTTTCCATTGGTGGCCTCTGCTGTGGCAGAAAGGGAGGTTGAGGGGGTCGAGGGGAGAGGTTTGTGTTAAGATTGCTGCAGAGAAAGGTGTCCCTACCCAGGACTGTTGGGAAGATCTTAAATACTAGACTGGAGAAAAGCCAAGAGACCATTGAAATGGACTAAAGGAGGAAGGGACACATTACCCATCAAAGACCTGTCACCAAGAGCGGTGCCAAGGTCGGAGATGGCATTCCAAGTTCAGCACTGGGAGAACTCTGTTGATGCAGGGCATGTTGTGACATTATGCTGTACTGTGCGTCCATGTTTGTATGTCAGTTTTGCTGTCACTATCAAGAGAAATAAAAGCATGGCTGGAAGTATTCACTTAATTGCAAAGAGCAGCAGGGAGGGGCCTTTTAGTACTTTGGCCCTGCAACACACTGAAGGGGGATAGCAGCATCTGTTGGTCAGAAAGGATGCCAACAGCTTCTCAGAGAAGGAAGGAATTTACCTGATGGGAACTTTGAATACCTTCAACCATGGCATTTTGGTTTTGGTTCATGTTTTTAAACTTATACTGTAACAGGTTCCTGAGATGTTTTTTCCTGTCTTGATTAGATTACTTGATGTGAAGTTATAAAAGGTGGGCAAGAACTCTTATCCATTCCCTGACTGCTCAGTGTTCCAGAGGCACAAGACAAATATAACCTCGTAGCCCTCCACTTTGTCTAGCAAATAATGAAAACGGAGACTCAAGTATGGTGTTCCCTTAGCCGAAAGGCTGTTAGCAGGGCTTGGTGCTGCAGGTTGTAGAGGAGCAGGCCAGGTTCTGGTCTGTTCCCAGAGGTGATCCGGCAATGCCCTGAGGTGTTGTGGAGACCCCGCGGGTGTACGGATTGTCTGCAAGCTGATGGGCACTGACTGGGGTCTGCTTTTTTCCTCTCTCTCTGTCTTGTCCTTCTGTGCACCTAGAATGGTGATTCTTTCCATGGCCCTAAGTGTGTGTGAGAAGTGGTCGTCTTCCTCGTTTTAGTCATTTTCATCCTCACCCAAAAAGTTGTGGTTTTTCTTTTTTCTTTTTTTCTCAAGGGGTGGGGAGAACGCACACACATACCCAACACTTAGTTTTGGAATTTCAATGAGCTGTTTGATGAACACCTTTTCTCTGTGATTCCAGCTGATTCCTGATGTGCTTTACTGTGGAGCCCCATGTGTCCCTGCAGTGTAGAGACCTTCTGATGTCCAACAGAGCTGGGTTGGTGTCTGGTTAGAAGATGCTCCTACTCTGGGGAGCTGGAAGGCATCAGTGCTAGTGGCAATCTACTTAGAAACCACATTAGTCTGTCCGTGTAAGAGAAATCTTTGCAAATCTGTGCTGCAGTAAGGGCATGCACTGATGTGGTTTGTTGTAGAGAAGTTTTACAGCAGTTTGAATGATAATTGGCTCTATCATTTATGAAGTCTGGTAGCTTAAGGGCAGCAGAAAGGTAGAATACAAGCTGGTGTGGCTAAAGACTGTTGGGTCTTTGTTTTCTAGACAAATATTCCAGTATCATGTCCAACATCACCACCCTTCTGGGACTGGAGACAGGCAGTAATGATCCTACGGGAAAACTCAAAGTCAGGTAGTTCCAGAGATCTGGAGATTCTTCCTTAGCTTAACAAATCAGAGGTATCAGCCCTTAGCCCTTAGTCCTCCTGGCATCTGTCCACTGAACATTTCAGAACTCAAATCAGAGTCATTTTCAGAAAGGAGAGGGGAACTGGGTTTTAATATTTCAGGAACAGCAGAAGATGAGGTTTGCGTGTTCTCATTTAACGTTTATTTTAAGTTTTGCGAACTATTAAAATGAAAAGAATTTTATTTTTGCCAGTCTCCCTGGATGAAGGTGGGAAGTGGTTTATAACTGCTGAACATATTTAAATATGAAACAGCCCCAGGCTAGCACAGAGCTTATTTTGAGATGGATAAAAAGATGTCGTCACCACCACAATCTTTAGCAAAAAGACAGGCAAGAACGTAAGAACGTAGAACAATAGACTTCACAGTTTAATTGAATTGCTGTTTTCTTGGCATGAATCTTCCACATAGTCTAACGTCAGAGGAGTGGATTAGCGCTCCAGCACCATTCACACACACTAAGCCGTTTCCCCGTAACTGACGTCATAGGTTGTTCCTTTGTAGGGTGACTTGGGATTTTGTTGCTCTTGATCTTTCTTGATGGAATATTTCTGTAGGTTGTTTGAGGGTTCTCTCCTCTGGCCTCCTGTAACAGCAGCAGAATTCAGTCAGGAAAACAGGGGTCTGATCTCATCGGGCCTCAGTTGGGAGCTGAAAAATTTCTAAGAATAACACAAGATTACATCCGGTATTCATGTCAGTAACAATTAGGACCACAAAGAAGCAGAGCAGGGGAAGGAAGTGCGGGAAGATACCAGCATCGCTCATGTACTGGAACATGCACAAGTGCAGAAGTGTCTCTTACTGAGCTTTAGTTGCCATTGTAAAAGGATGTTTTATGTTATGTTGCATCAGACTTTCAACAGCAGATATGGGTTGGTTGCTTTTTATTGTTTTCTGAGCTGCTTCACGCTCGTTTGTGGCAGCATCTTGCTTGGTTGCTACAAGAATAGAATTGATCCATGTTGATGTGACAAACTTGGGATAATCCCTCTGGAAAACTTTTCTACCCAGCTGGATTGCCATACAAGATTACTGAGTTCCCAGATATCTTGAAAATAGTTTTTCTGTGGCTGTTTGAAGTGCCCCCAAGTCTGTCCGATCCCTTTCAATATTAGTGATCCAGATTCAAAATGAAAAGGATGTGTGAAGGGCCCATTGGATGTGTGTAGGAGAGTGTGTAGCGGGTGTAAGTTGTTTTATATGGAATTAGAAGTCTGTAGTCACAGGAAGGAAGGGATGGCCAACTGCACTGCATGCTGCATGCCTTCTGGCAAACATATATCTGAGATGGACCTTCAGAAAGTGTTTCCAATGCGATTGTTGGAGGGGGAGCATGAGCTTTTTGGGCAGAATTTTGGGCTTCTTATTTTCTATTTTCTAGGGATCATGATTTCGAGACTTCATTCCTTTTTTGAAAAAGAAGCTTTAGGGTCCCCTGAATGAAGCGTGTGCTTCCCTTCTCCTTCTGTTAGTGCTCTCCAATCTCGAGAAAAATACCTGTCTTCCAAACTACATAGGACAGGGATCATTAAAAAAGTGAAAACTAAATAATTTTTCCTAACCTCCCCACTCGTATCCCAGTTTTTCTTCCAGCTGGAGAATGTTTAGTTGATGAAATATAGCTGTTTTGGATGAACAAAGATGCTACCAAGACAAAGGTAAAAATGAGGTGACCATCAGGAGAGGCTGGACAAGAGCTCCTTGGGAATCGAGGTACAATGGGTCCAGAGAGTAAGAGCTGGGGAAGAAGAGACTAATTTCATTGAACTGAAATGTCTTACTAAAAATGGTTCGAGACCTGCAGAGAGATGTGGTACCTCATTTTGAGTGAGGGAATCCCAGGAATTTCACCATTCCCTGGAGACTCTTATGCTCCAGGATTGGCTTGCTTTATTAGGGTTTTGGAGAAAGTAAAGTTCGGCTCAGTTGCCACGATTAATTTTATCAAGTGTTCTTCTTAGGGCCCTCCCCTCAATAGGGCAGTGCTCTTTGTATGTGCAAATAAGTGCACTTCAGCTTTGTCCTGCAGAGTTTCTTTTAGATCAACGGTATTTCAAAGCTGTGTGCAAGACTGAACTGTAGCTCTTGCTCGGAGCTAAGTGAGAGGAGAAAGAGCTGTAGTAAGGCTGACCTTGGTTTGACAGAGGATGCTAGCAGATTGACACAGTGGGACAGTTGGGGTTACTGTAGACAGAAAGGGTTTGCCACTAATTCCAGTTGGTGATAGCAAACTTACGGTGCAGATGGACTTGGGAGTTATATGGGCTAGTTTGAATCTTTGATCATTCTTTGAAAAGAGGCTCTAGGGGATGCTGGAGGATGTAAGTAAGTCTCTGAGGGGTGGGAGCAGGCTGGAGTGCCAGGGGTAGATGGCAAATTTCAGCAGGGAAGGAGGATTTGTAGAGTAGGTGTTTGGGAGGATTTTACGGGAGCAGGAACGTGCTGGAGAGGTTTTGGGATTGCACAGATGGTCTTGGGCGAGTGTGGCTGGCATGAGACTGAAGTGTGACTTGCTGAGCGAGGACTCTGGAAGAGATGTACATGGAGTGTCGTGGCTTTTCTAGGGTCACTGCCTAGAGGAAACCTTGCCCTGGTGTGTGCAGAAAGTTGGCTTCTTGTGGCCTGTATGTGACTGAGAAAGAGAGGATTCCTCTCAATTATCTCCTTGCCAGGTGCTTTGTCTTATTTCATGAGCGTATCCAGGTGTAGCAAAAGCCCTACTGCTTCATGACCATGAGTCATCTCTAAAAAATAAACCAATCCAGCCATGTTTTGAGGGAAGGATGAACTTGCTGTGATAGTGCTGTGATGGATTAAAACTGGAGACTCCAGTGGTGTTTTGTTAAGTTTAGTTGCCTAATAGTCAGCGCTCTCCTTCCTTTTGTTTTGGGCGTCAAACTACACTGAGTCAGACCAGAGAGCTTTTTCTAGCCCTGAACTTTTGGCCTTCTTTACAGTAAAACACATCAAGAATAACGAAAATCACCACAGTTCCTCATTTGTGTGAGAAGTGAACTGAACCAGACAGGCCGAGAATCCCCAAGCGGGGGCCACATCTGTTCTGTGTAATTCCCTAGCTTTTTTGTTTTCTGGGACTGCTCACACAAGGATGTGTTGAAATCAAGACTTGAACCTGTTGATCTGAGAACGTCTTTTGCTTTCTCCCCTCCCTGTCTAAGGAGCTGGTGTTCCTGCCCTCTGCTCTGTGGAGTGGTTGTCTCTCAGCCGACTGTGAGCCAAGACACTACGAACACCCTGCTGCACATGCTGTCACTATGAAACACTTACTCTTTTAATTTAAATGTTTTATGAAAATAGTTGTTGTTTCCTTCTGTCAGTTACCAGTGGGAGGGGAGGGAAGGGAAGGGGGTGGGACAATCTGTGCATGCAAATGTATTTAAAGTGCGTTGACCAAAGTTTTTTGTTTTTTTGTTTTTTTTTTGAATCTGTGAAGTTTTCATAGCTGTGAAGTCATCAGACTGCTGGGCAGTGAGGAGCCGCTGGTGCTGCTGAGTCTGTCTTGGTTACATTTCTTAATAAGCATTAAAATAATAAAATATATTTATAAAAGAGAGTGTGAGTGCCTTTGTCCCAGGGCTGGAAGATCTAGCTGGCCGGCCATTTTTTGTGCAAGTGTTTTATTATTATTTTATTAGCTTTTTCCATAGGCTAATCTTTCCGGAGAGCTCTGTTCCTGGCACTGCCTGTGCTTTCGCTGAGGATATTAACATGGACTGAGGTGACAGGCCCAGACATGCTAGAAGCCCCCTCACATCTCTGACATCCTGCGATCTGTCATCTTGGCAATAAGAGAAAATAGCGTTAACAGCTGAGCACTGTAATTGCCCAAAGGCCTGCAGCATCAGGAACAGAGTTACACAGCGAGGCCTGGAGGAGATACCTGGACAACTATGCAACCTTGCCGGCTGTGTCAAGCACCCCAGCCCACTGGCTCTCCTTCCACACGGGGGGGAGCCCTGTTGGTGCCCCTCGGCGCTCCCTGTAACACCATCACTATTCCAGCCCTCTGGCCTGGTCTGCCAATGCCCCTCAGCCTCAGCAACCCCAGCCTGAGGTCAGCCACGTTTGTTTGGAAATGGAGGCAGTGAATCAAGATGCTGTTGTGGTGCTTCTCGGGCCAATTCTGAGCAGTGCCGGCAGCATGCAGCTGAAAATGTTTCCAGCTGGCAGCTACTAAATGTGTGTGTGGGGAGGTTAGCGCAAGCCTGTTTAATCCAGGAGCATTTTGAATTGGGAAGGGATGAAGTGAAAGTTCTCCAGATAACCCTCAGCTTCTGGCCGTTCCCTCTCCAGTGCACTTTGCACAGGGCTGGAGGCCCCAGTTGGTGGCGAGGCGGCTGGCACCCTGGTGCTCTGTGGCCAGCTGTGCCTGAGCTGTTCAACCAACTGTGTAATTGAAAAGCTTTTTATTTTTCCCTCCTTTCACAAACACTGTGCGTTTTGTTCCGCAGCATCAAAGGCCAGGAGCTGGGGGAACAATGGGAGTCTGCAGGAGTACTCCGGAACAATGGCCCTGCCTGGCCCCAGGAAGAAAGCCCAGTCCTGGAAAGAACAAAGAGCGCTCCCAGTTTAACAACACAATTGGCCTGATCTGGAAATCTCACCTCAAGAGATCCACACCTTAGCTTAGTCATCCAGAGAAACCAGACTTTGCAGGGCTTTTGCTGTAGACTGAGATCTGCCTGAGGATACTATAGCTCAATAGTGTAATATTTACTGTCGTGCTGGGGAACTGGTGGTATTTCTGCATGGTGAAGAAGGATGGCACAGTGGAGGATGGCTTTCTTCCTGCTAAGGGGTGACTAGCGTTAATGGCTAAAAAGCTTTTCACAGCATTTAAAGCAGCAGGATCTTCCTCCCCTTCCTTTTGTGCCCAAATAGGGACCCCTGTGGTATCCTGTAGTGCTCTTAACCATCTTAGCCTTCTCAAGGAGAAGTTTGGGGGAACTGAAAGGTCTGAGTTTCTTTTGAGGCACTTTGGACCTCAGGGCATACTTTCACAGGACAGAGGGAGGGAGAGAAACTCCTGTCAGCTCTGAGCGATCCTGGGAGGAATCCACCTCTCTAGTCCTTCAGGTAAACGCCTCTGAAGTTAGATGATGTGACTCACTGCCATTTGGAGTCTGGATGTGGACTGTAAGTGGACCTGTATTTCTCCCTGCCCTCCCAGTCTCCTCTTCAGTGCTGTTCTGAGAGCAAAGGGGACAGGTCTATGCAGTGGAGATGCTGCCTCAGAAATGACCCAGTGGATGGGACTGTCAGAAGATCTTTTGCTGCAGGGTGCACTGCTCTTACAAGCACTATCATTTCTCTGCTGTGTGAGCAGATCTAGTCGCTACTCAGATCATGCAGATTAACAGGTAAGTACTCCTCAGATCTCAGAAAATCGGAAATTCATTTCAGGAAGCGGAGTTCTTGCAATGCATCGCAGAAAATGATCTAAGCCAAGTTTGGGGCTGACAATAGCATGATTTTTCAGCGAATGAAAGGCAAGGAATAAAAGCAGAACTCTCAGTCTGCACAGGCAGAATGAACTGTGTAAAGATGAGGTTATTTGAGGTGCAAATCTGTACTGTGTGGTCTGAGCAGGTTGCGCTAAACTCCAAAGCTAGTACTGTGGCCCTTGAAAGCGTGCAAACTGCAATCCAGACAGGTGACTGCAACTTGTACAGAGCCCTGTGTGGGCTTTAAACCTGACAGCTTGGACGCTGACAGCGCTGGAGCTGCGGTCGCTCAGGCTTTGGTTGCCAAGGATTTACCTAGAGGCCTAGGCAGCTCTACTTTTTTTGCCTTACCTAAGGCAAGGAGAGTAGGTCACAGTTCAGAATGACAGTGAAGAAAACCTGTGTGCATGGGGTATCTTGCTGCCTCAGCTGTCAGTGAGGGCAGGGGGATATCTTTGAGCTGGTATTAGTTCAGGATGTCT